TGGAGCAACATCATAGGCATACGTTAGTAGAGAGCTGCTCTACAGTCATAATCATCTTACAATGACCCGAGATACTGATTTGATAATAGTGCCCCAGTCTCTAATGTTGGAACAACAATTCAACATAATCCACACTGATCTTTTCTAAGGTTACCATCAATGGTTATGCAATTTATGTTTTGGTCTCAGCTCTCAGATTTTCAATGTTATTATTCCTAAAATAAAATAAAAAAAAGAAATCTTGTCATGAGGGCGTTTAGTTAAAAAATACCCACACTAATCACAGATAGTAACCCAGAATTCAAACAGCTATCGATTTATTTAGGCTCGTTGGTGACGTTGGGCCTCCATGTCAAACATGTCATCTGACAAAACAGTTTGATTAACATTTGAATAGAATTTTTTAATAGTGATTGATATAATTGACATGTTTGTTTCTTGTAATTCATGCCTTCCAGAAAGCTTTATCAAGTTTAGAAAAAGGGATGGGCACAGGATCCTCACCAGGATGCTTTATGAGCATTGCCAGTGTGTTTGTGTGTGGAGGATATTTATTTTTATTTATTTTTCTCTTCTGCTCTGCTGTCTGGGCTATAGCGTGTTCACCTGCCTTGTTCAGCTGATGGTGGTCTTAAGGGTTCTGTAGGAGATCTTGGAAAAATCTTGCCTCTCCCTTCAGACCACCCCTCGAACCACACCTTCAAAACACATGAACAGCAGCGCTGATGATGGAGAGCACTATGATCACTCCTCTAAAACAGTTTAACGCCTAAATTAACTTAAAATGCCGAAATCTGACGGTAAAACATGTTCACTTTTATTATCCTGGTGCCTGCAGTTTGGATTACATACATGAAAAACACCTTCCAGCCACCATGGCAAACCGCGAGGAGGCGACCGGGCCATAGGCTGCTGTTGAATGGGATTCCCAGTGACAGTGCACTGCTGGTGTACGGGGGTCTGAGCAGCTCCGACAGAAATAATATTTGAAGGCAGGATGGTAATCTGGATGAACTGACTGCACTGACGATGTTTTCAGGTGGACTTTCTCACTTCAAAATAAATTCAAACTACTTTTTACCCACTGATCACAGCAAATATAGCTGCCATTGTTACAGGCATAGAAAGGATAGCTCGTGCATTTTTGCTGCTTCAGTTCTAAATAGGGTAACCAGACATCCTCTTGTTCCCAGGCATGTCCTGGTTTTCATATCTAAAAAAAAAGTCCGGGGGGAATTTCAAAATCATCCAGGAATCTGGTCGACTACAGTGCAGCAGAACCGAGCCGTGAGCTCCGGGGCTGGGGACAGAGTGACCGAACCTGACCTGGTGAAGGTACGTTTTCCCCTCTTGCCGGGTAAGGCAGGCAGGGGGAAGCATACTGTCACCGGGTCGGGTTCGCTCACACAGCCCCGCTGGTGTTCCCGGACCAACCCCGTAGCTCAGAGCTCATGCAACAATGGACTCTGGAAAAGTAAGCTTTTAAGTTGGTTTTCATACTTGAGATTAGTGCAAAGGAAGACAGATACATATGATAGAAGTCGAGATTACACTTGCTGTATTATATGTGAAGTACAAGAGCAGAGCCCAAAATATTTCCAATCTGAGGAAGCATCTGGTTAAGCACAAGGTTTTTCACAAGCCTGAATTGTGCACACTTATCAACAGCCTCATATCCAAGGCAACAACTTCTGCTTTCAGCACAGTTAGTGGCTCGTCTCAAGCAGGCAGCAATATGAAACACCTACAACACCATCTCCATCTGCTTAAAGTAAATAAATACAAAAATTATGCTCGACAAGATTTTTCAAATCTATGGGGAATTGTCCACAATGACACAACAATGCAATGACTCATAGGCAGCTGTTAAAGCAACCAGGGATCCCAGAACACAAGGGCTGACAGCATCCAGGCCAAACTGCACTAATGATGTATTTCATAAAAAAAAAAGGAGCTCACACCAAAAGCTGAGAAATTCCTTCTACATCTCCAAATTTCAGTTCAAATATAGTTGTTGTTTGTTTTAATCTCCCCTATTCTGGTTTTCAACAAAAACAAATGTCGTTAGTTTGTATGTATTTTAAATGATTAGGCTATTTTCAATAAAGCTACAGGAAACAAAGCCTAGTGTACAAGTTTCCCTTCCTGACATTAAAACGTTTAAAATCTGAGCTTTTACACGACCAAATTTTTTTAAATGCACCTGTATTCTCTTATTTGATCAGGTTCGTACTTGTTAGAGCAAAAATATTTGAATTTAAAACGGGCATACGATAACATATAATTATTTTTTTTATTTGAATTCAAACTTTGAACCGACGTATGATTTACAAGTCTTTCAATTTGAATATCTAAATGCAATTATTAAAAAAGAAAAAAAAAGAAAAAAAAAGTTGCTTAAGTACTTTTCTTTGATTGATCGACACACCCCTCACCTGTTCAATGGCTCTGCACCGGAACCAGCGCCCTCACTCAGCCTTTTCAGTTTGGTTGCTTTTTGCTTCTTCGCTGGATCTCCTTTAGCGTAATTTTCTCTCCCCATTTTACCGCAGATCTTCTCGAAAAGCACTTAGAAATTAGTTTGTTAAAAAATACATTTAAAAACCACAAAAACCGTTGGACAAACGCCAGGATGATTAGCCTAAATTATATTAGCCGCCATATTAGTCATTAGTTAGCTAAGAACTTTAAGCAATGTCAACAACAAAAAAAAAGAAAAAATAGCAGCTGACATTAATTATGTAATTAAAATTAAAATATAACATTCAATGAAATACACTGAACAAAATTACTCACCGTTTGGAATATCGGTAAAATTGGGATATTTTCCTTGCAATGCAACCTAAAAGTTTTTCTCCTGTGTTGACTTAGCCATCGGCGGCAGTTCCAGCTGGATTCTGATTGGATAAAAAAAAGTCTCGCGAGTTTTCAATTTCAGCAACGTTCAACTGGGATACTGGTCATAAGCACTAGAGGCGCTTCAGAGCTTAAGATAGGACTGGAGGGGGCGGGGGTTGGACATGTAAAACTTTTTTAACCGGTTTAAAATGGTTTTTGATCATGTTTGAATATATTTAACTTGATGAACATATTTTTGTTCGCCCAGAATTCAATTAAGATAGATTGAGTTTAATTGAATCAAAACGAAAGTTGTGGTCAGGAGTTTTGGTCTTGATTGGCCTGTCTCTTATATACATATATTGTCTTTTATAAATCTTCTGTAATATACATTTATGGAAACCAAATTTTTACATGCACTGTCAGGATAAGTATATTTATCTGTTTGATAAATATACTTATCTTTTCATATTTAGGACAGAAAGTATTTACAAAGTTAAATTTGGTTAATAACTAGATTGAATTTGATATAGTACTATAAACCGAAAATATTTTTTCTTTTAAAAAAAATGGGGAAACTACAATAATGGCATGTGAGTGAGCTTCAAAGATTTTTTATTTTTCATTAGGTTAAATAGAGGCATACTCATGGATACATATTAAGGCAACTCTTCAGTTATACAGCTTCCTTTTGTGACATGAAAAATTATAAGAAATCTACCAAAACATCAGAAACAGAATGGTGAACTATGACAAACGTGTTTCATACTTGGGTTTTGTTTTTTTGTTTTTGCAGATGCCTGAAGGTGCCACATAGTTGTTTTTTTTTGTTTGTTTTTTGTTCTTGTTTTTTTATATATATATATTCAGCTATATTGGGTTGCCAACATACAATTGTTTATGTCATAAACATATCCAAAGGCATTTTTAATATTAGAAATTTTCTGATTAATTTATTAGTTGTTGTGCATCACAGACGTCAATGTGGAGCAATACATTGC